TCTGAGAGCCGGAGCTTGACGGGACTGCCTTGTTTTTCCAGGTCTCGAAAGTTTTCCACCTTTGACAGGATGCAATCTTACCACTTTTCTATTGCTCTCTATTAAGAATCCTACCGCATAAACAGCCAGCGAGTTTTCCTTCTCTGACAGGCTTCCACCTTACACAGGTTCTGGCTTTTGCAGGTTTTACTGTATCAGTAAACAGCTCTAATGACTTCCACACTACCAGACCATGATTTCTCATGAACACCAATAGAATGGAAAATGCATCTAGAAGATGCTCTTTCTTATGGGACTGAAAGAATGACTATCCAATATACTCCATGCTTTGCTGTCCATACTCATCCACACCAAGAAGAAGGGCAGGCCGTAACTGGTTCTGAGGCCCACTTCTATGATGACAACAATCAGTGTGTAAGCGCCCCTTTTTGTTTTTCCCAAGTAGTATTGAATGCTCGACTATGTATTAAATTAAAAACCAAAACCAAAACCTATTACCATTGAGTTGATTCTGACTCACAGCGCCCCTATAGGACAGAGTAGAACTGTTTCTAAGGAGCAGCTGGTGGATTCGAACTGCCGACCTTTTTGTTAGCAGCCAAGCTCTTAACCACTGCGTCACAAGGGCTTCTCGTGTATTAAATTAAAGAAGCCTTTAACTGACTGTCAGTTGGAATCTAGCAGTAACTGGGCACTGTGGATGAAGCAAAAGAAGTTAATACGCCATAGCTCAATCATCAAAAATGTTTACCGAAACTAACCCCTGAGGTCACTTTGTAGCTAAATAACAAACAGGCTCAAAAAATAAAGAATATCACCCATAAGTACTGTGCTACTTAAAAAAAATCACCTATACGAGATCAAACGGTCAACAATTACTTTAAAACAAAGATGAGAAGGTAAGGGGGCAGAGAAACTGAATGAATTGAAACGGAACAACTAGAATGGAAGTATTGACAAATATTCACGCATTGTGAAGAATGTAACCAGTGTCACTGAACAGCTTGTGGAGAATTGTTGAATGGGAGCCCAAACTGTTGTGTAAACTTTCACAGAAAGCACAACAAAATGTTATTTGAAGAAAAAAATTGCACTTATTAGGTAAGAAAAGATGGAAATATACGAAAGGAGTAATGAATGATGTCAACACCAAGTATCAGAAACCATCACAGACCTGTAACTACCACTCATTGGGCACCTACTACTATTGGTGGTCAAGCCTTCCTCCCCAAAGACTCCGAGAGAAGAAACTGAAAATAAAGGCGAGGCATGAAAGGAAAGAGTGGCGAATCAACTGACCTAATCTCCCTTGCCACATTTCCGACACTTGGGTCAACACATGTATTCTTGTAGAAGTCTCCAAAAGGATCTATTAATTTTATGTTTCCAGGTCAATGATCTAAAAATTTTAATGTAAGCATATTCTAAATATAGACAATCAAGCATAAGTATAATCAATATGTATAATATGATACATACATCATGTTCTTGTCTGTGTTGCATGCCATCAAGTCCATTTTGATTCATAGTGATCCCATGTGACAGAGTAGAACTGCCCCATAGGATTTTCTAGGCTGAAGTCTTTACTAAGAGCCCTGGCGGTACAATGGTTAAGTGCTCACCTGCTAACTAAAAGGTTGGTGGTTTGAACCCACCAGCCGTTCTGTGGGAGAAAGATGTGGCAGTCTACTTTCATAAAGATTTACAGTCTTGGAAACCCTATGGGGCAGTTCTGCTCTGTCCTATAGGGTTGCTATGAGTTGGAATCTACTTGATGGCAGTAGATTTGGTTTAATGGGTTAATCTTTACGAGAGCAAATCGTCAGGTCTTTCTCCTATGGAGCCTCTGGGCGGGTTCAAACTGCCAACCTTTTGGTTGGCAGTTGAATGCTTAATCATTGCGCCATCAGGGTTCCTTATATATATATCATATATGACATAATATTTGTATTTCTGCTTATAATCACGTTGGCACAAGTAGAACTGCTTTAATAATCTCAGACTAACGAGACAAAATACGTAAATGATATATATGGTCAAGACAAGTGAAGCCCAAATGATGTCATATCATGTTGTTCAAAAGAAGTTTTCCAGTGTCCCAATAACAAGTGGTGGGAGGAATGAGTCATCACCTGACACAGAAATAGACATACTAAATTTACCAGAACCTGTGCTGTGCCAGGCAGTGCCACATTCAAGTGGCAAAATGGAGTATAGTGGCTACTAGATTCTGTCAGTTTTAAGAAAAAAATTGCTTTTCACTTCTGATAAAAATCAGCAAAGAAGGATGTGATGAAAAGACCTCAGTGACACCAAGTACTGCATAGAAGGATGTGGTCAATTCCGTGCTAATACGAGTCTGATGCCATTCAGCTCCAAGCACAAATTGTTGAAAGGAAATGTAATCCAATCATATGACCTTGGTCAATAATAAGCCAAAACAGAACTGAATAGGTCTTATCTGCCTGAGAAATTTATAACCTGATTCCAACCCTTGTCTTACTTGTCCTCTGTTACTTTGGACACTGTTGAGCAAATTTCTCTTTCTTAATATTTTCTCTTGTTTTGGGTTCCATGAAAGAACTCGGTCTTCCTCCTATTCTCAAAGCTCCTTCTCGATTTTTCTGCAGGCTTGCTTCTCAAATGGTGGTGTTCCTCAGCCCTGCCTCACATCCCTCCTTCTTCCCCATCAATCTTATCCACACTTGTGACTCAATCTCTTACCTCAACCTCACCCTCTTCTCTTGAATTTGACACCTAGAGCTTCCACCTGAGTATTTTTTTAAAAAGAACCACTGCAAACGTTAACTATCCAGAAGTCACATCATCATTATCTTAGTTACCTAGGGCTGGCCTAACAAAATATACCACAAGTGAGTGACTTTAAAGAACAGAAATTTATTTTCTCACAGTTCAGGGGGCTAGAGTCCTAATTCAGAGCATCTGGCTCTAGGAGAAGGTCCTTCTTTGTCTCTCTCAGCTTCTGGTAGCTGCTGGGCTTGTAGATGCATCTATCTCCATTGTGACATGGTGTTTGTCTTCCCTCTGTGTATGTCGGTGTCTATTCTGCTCTTTTTATAAAACACCCCTGAGAAGTGATTAGGTTTAGGAGCCACCCTATTCTAGTATAACCCATTAACATAACAAAAGAAAACGCCTACTTCCAAATAGGGTCGTATTTACAGGTACAGGGGTTAGGATCTCCACAGTTCTTTTTTGAGGACACAATTCAATTCACAACCATCATGTTGCTCATAAATCCAGTGCCCTCCTGTAATCCCTGTTTCAGTTAATGGTATTACCTGCTCAGTCAGCAGAGCCACAGACCTGGGAATCATCCTTGACTTTTTAGTCACCAAATTCTGTCACTTTTATATCATAAATATAATTGATGTATCTTATAGCTTCTTTAAGGGTGTGGCTAGAAGGCAGATGGGGCTCCTGGTTCTGGAACAGTTGAACTGAACAGCTCATTTTCAGCTCTGCTAAGGTCAGGGCTCTGTCTTGCCATTGGCCCATGGGTGAATGGAATTTGAACGCTGCTGGAGAGGGAGTGGGCAAATATGCCAAGGGACCAAGGAGTTCCCTGGTAAATAGGAAACTGTGACCCTTTCCCTTTGAGGTTTCAAGTTATTACAATGCTTCTGGTGGGCTGGGATGGTCCAAAGGAAGCTCAGTTGTAAGAAATGTACAATAATGTCCTTTAGGAAGAAATCCATTATGACGGTGGTGATGGCAGTAGTGGTGGTGGTGGAAGGTGAATAAAACAGAAGAACTAGATGGTGCCTGGCTACCACTACTGATTTTCTGATCAGGGCTACCACAGATGAACCCTGATGGAACAGGAGAAAAACGTGGAACAGAACTCAAATTCTTAAAAAGTCCAGACTTACTGGACCAGTTGAGACTAGAAGACTCCCCAAGACTACTGTCCTGAGATAGTCCTTATTTTTTTTAATCTTTTTTATTGTTGTAGTTTAGATGAAGTTTACATTTCAAGTTAGTCTCCCATACAAAAATTTATTCACACATTGTTATGTAACCCTAATTGCTCTCCCCATACTGCGACAGTACACTCCTCCTTTCCACCCCTGATTCCCCATGTCCGTTCAACCAGCTCCTAACCCTCTCTGCCTTCCCATCTCACCTCTGGGCAGAAGCTGCCCGTTTAGTCTCTTGTATCTACTTAAGCTAAGAGACACACTCCTCATGAGTATCACTTTATGTTCCACAGTCCAGTCTAATCCCCGTCTGAAGAGTTGGTCTCGGAAATTGTTTTATTTCTGGGCTGATAGAGAGTCCAGGGGCCACGCTTTCCAGGGTTCCGCCAGTCTCAGTCAGACCATTAAGTCTGGTCTTCTTACTAGAATTTGAGTTCTGCACCCCACCTTTCTCCTGCTCCATCCGGGACTCTCTGTTGTGTTCCCTGTCAAGGTGGTCATTGGTGGTAGCCAGGCACCGTCTAGTTCTTCTGGTCTCAGGCTGATGAAGCTGAGATACTCTTTAAACCTTAAACCAAAATTATCCCTTGAGGTCACCTCTTAGCTAAATAACAGATTGGCTCATAAAATAAAGACTATCACCTGTGAGTAATAAGGTCCTTTAAAAAAATTTTCTATGGGGACTAAACGGTCAAAAATTACTCTACAGCAAAGATGAGAAGTAAGGGGGCAGGGAAACTAGAGTGCTGAAAATGGTACAACCAGAACAGAATGAGTGAGAATGATAACACATTGTGAAAAATGTAACCAATATCACCAAATAACTTGTTTAGAAGTTGTTAAATGGGAACCTAATTTGCTGTGTAAACTTTCACCTTAAACACAATAAAATATTATTATTTAAAAAAAAAAAAACTAGGCGGGGCAGGTGAGCCAGGCTCAACACCAAGGTGTATCTCGTCCTAGGGGAGGATCAGTGAGAAACAGAGAAATGATGTTGCTCCCCCTCTGACCCACCACCTTGAACCTTGGGATCCCTAGGAAGAAATAGCTGCTTACCTGTAAATGAAAATATCTGGCACTAGAGTTGTAACAGGGAATCCAGTCTCCTGTGTTGTGGAGTAATCATTGCTGTATCTGTCATTCACTCCCAGGCCTTACCAATCTCGCCCTTGCCTCAGCAGCCCAGTCTGTGGTGAGCAGACCTTCAATCTTTAGCCCTGAGATTTGGACTTCCTGTTTTCTACACCAGCCTCACCAAAGCAGAAGTTGGAACCGAAAGCAGACCAACCAGAACTTTCGGTTTCTCTTCCGTACAACAACAGTAAGCAGGACTCAATAAGCACCTCTGGGGGGTCTTACTGTCTGAGGAAGAGAGATCACAGAGAATGAAGAAGGGACTGCTCACAATCAGTAAGACGGAAACTCAAATTTAATGGATTTGTCTAGTAACTTAAATGAGGCTTTATTTTCTACCAGGTGAAATAGGATCTGACACTTGATGGGTATTCAGTAATGTTTGGATTTGAATCTGAGCATTGTTTGATCAGACACACGTACCCACCCTGTCTGAGAACGTATAATAGAGAAGAACCTGGCCACTGCTCCAGGTTAGCATTCCTTCCTGTGACCCCTCAGAGCGGCTCTCATTTTTCTTTCTTAAGAGGAGTCAATCCCAATTTTTTTGGGATTGTGAGTGGGAGTAAGGATGTGTTCAATGTCAGCAGAGTACGTTAAATTTATGAGCATGTGACTCCAAAATATAGATGTTGTTTAGAGTATCCTCTTATCTTCAGCTTCTTACCCTAGACCACCATTGTCTCTTACCTCAATTGCGGCAACAATTTCCTACTTGGACACTCCACCTCTACTTTTGCTCCACTTTGACCCATTCTCCAAGGAACGCTGCTGGCACAATGGTTAAGCGCTCGGCCGCTAACCAAAACTTGGCAATTTGAACCCACCCAGAAGCTCTGTGGGAGAAGACCTGCCAATCTGCTTTCATAAACATAAAAAAAAAAAGAATTAAAAAAAAAACACCAAACCCGTTGCCGTGGAGTTGACTCTGACTCATAGATTACAGCCTAGAAAACCCTATGGGGCAGTGCTAATCTGTCACACAGGGTCAACTATGAGTTGAAATCAACTAGAAGTCACCCAACAACAATGACTTATTATCCACTCAGCAACAAAGCATGATCTCCTTTACATGGATATAGGATTTCATTATCCCCTTGCCTGAAACCCTTTAATGGCTTCTTTATTGAGTTCAAAATAAAACTCAATCTCCTCACCATGGCCTGAAAGGCCTCAGGTGACCTGACCACTGTGATCTGACCGCAGCCAGTAGAACCCTCTCCCAGCATCAGGACCACTACTCTGGAGTTGTGCTGGGTTTCTTCCAATGTCTTGAACGCACCAAGCTCTTTCCCATCTCGGGGTCTTTGGCAATGCTGTGCTAACTGCTGGAATGCTTTCTCCTCCCCTCCAATTTGGCCCAACTCTTCCCATGGGCAGCTCCTTCCCTTCCTTTAGGTTTTAGCTTAAATGTATCCTTGGAGAAGTTTTCTCTGACCATCCTACCCAAGTAGGAAAGCAGGTCCACTTCTGCTGCTCTCTAGCTCAACAGCTTCCTGTCTGATTGCTTTCACACTTCATATTTTCATATTATTTTATTTATTTGTATGTTTACCTTTTGTGGATCTGTTCTCTGCACTAGAATGTAAGTTCCATGCAGGCAGGGACCACGGCTGACTTGCTTATGACTGTGTGTCCACATCTAGAGCGGTGGCTGCCAGACAGGGTTTGTCAGATGAGTTGAATAACATGGTTTTGTCCAGTTCTCCCAAGTTACGGAACTGTACAGGAAATCTAAGGAATCCTGGCAGCGCAATGGTTAAGTGCTTGGCTGTTAACTTAAAGGTCGACGATTGGAACCTATCAGCCCCTCTGAGGGAGAAAAGGCCTGGAGATCTGCTCCCGTAAAGATTACAGCCTAGGAAACCCTATGGGACAGTTCTACTCTGTCACATGGGGTCGCTATGAGTCAAAATCAACTCTATGGCACCTAATAACAACAACACACTAAATCTACACTTGGGACTCATGGAAGATAATCATCTGACATATTTATTTTTGTAAGAGACTGAGTTTACGACTACATGCTCTGTCTTGCTGAGTCACTTAAAAGAAATGTATACCAGAATATTCCGCAAACTAAGATTATAAACAATATTCAAACATGATATGTAATAATGTCAGGAATGGGAAAGTTTTATTTAAAAAATCCATCTAAAATGTGTAACTCCCAAACGAATTGTAATTCTACTCGAAATTTGATTCTCCATCAAAAGAGAAAAAGAAAATGTTTAGCTTCACTAAAAACCAAACCCGCAGCCATCAAATCAATTCCGACTCCTAGTGACCCTATAGGATAGAGTAGAGCTGCCCTACAGGGTTTCCAAGCATGGCGCAAGGTTAAGAACTCAGCTGCTAACCAAAAGGTCAGCAGTTCGAATCCACCAGCTGCTCTTTGGAAACCCTATGGGGTAGTTCTACTCTGTCCTATAGGGTCACTATGAATCGGAATCAACTTAACGGCAATGGGTTTTACTTCACTAGTAATCAAATATATGCACATTAGGATAACAATTAAGGTATCATCTTTCACATTCAAAACAGGCAAACATTTTGTTTTTAATATAAAATTCATTTGGCCCCCAGCCTGAGGTAAAATGAACATACTCTCATACACTGCTGGTTTAAAGTAAATTGCTAAAACCTTTTTCCAGAACAGTAATATAGCAATATACATTAAAAACCATTACTATTTTGGATGCACCTTGTCTACTCAGCAAGTCCTACTGAATAAATAATAATGAATTTATACAACAATTTGGCTGTTTGGATTTTTATCACAAGGTTTTTATAATTGGAAAATACCTGAATATATAACATATATAGAACAATAGGAATAGTGCATACATATAATGGTGTTTAAAAGATCATTGTATTTTCACAGAATATTTAATAACATGGAAAAATTTTCAAGCTATAATATTAAGTGAAAAATTAAAAAAAAGCAAGCCACAAGAGTAAGTAAATCCCAATTTTGTTAATACATAAGTATATATACGTATGCATAGAAAAAAAGCCTGTTAAATGTTAATGGCACTTATCTCTGAGTAGCGGAATTACTAACAATTTTATTTGCATATTAAATACCATAGACAGTATACTTTTCTGTATTCACTGCATTGTCAACAATAAACATGTATTAATTTATAACCAGAAAAAGGGACTATTTGAAAAAAAATGAGACAGGGGAATGGTAAAACAAGTACATGCAAAATCAGTCATATTTGTTCGAAGCTTTAGAAGAAAACCTTAGACCTCTTCAGAGGGTGATATTTTCAGTGTCTCTACAAGCTTTACAGTTGAATTAGCAACCGCATGGCAACATGACATTATTGGACTGTCACAAGTTGCCCAAGATAAGACGAGATGGAAGCTAACCACAGACAGGCAATCAAGAGACCTTTATCCAGAAAAGTTACCTTGAGAATGGAGAAGTAAATGTTCTAAATGAAAGGAGGAACCAGAGTGAACTTTGTGTTAACTGAGCTAAAGCCAGACTCACAAAACCGGGGAGATTCACACAACATGGGGGCTCTCTACCCCAACCCCCAACTTTACCCATAAGAAGACAGAAACCAAAGATGAAACAATTGTGTGGCTCCCCCGCCCCCTGCCCCCCGCTGCCCCCATCCCCACTCCCATCCCGGAGCAAATTGCCCATTCTATCCCTGTGTTGAGAGAGACAAAAAATGAATGGGATCTCCACCCAGTGGCATTTTTAAGGAGGAAAAGCCTAGCTCTCTGAAGTGCCGCCCCGGAAGGTAAAATGGGCTCTTATCTTTTCACTGCTCTGGCTGTGCTTATCATTGCTCAGTTTTTACTACAGGTGTCCTCGGGGCCACCACACTCCCCAAGGTTATGAAGAGAGACACAGTCACACCACACCAGCTCTGATGTGTCCTTGGATATTTTTTAAATACCCATTGCTGTCAAGTTGCTCCCAACTCATAGTGACCCTATAGGACAGAGTAGAACTGTCCCATAAGATTTCCAAGGCTGTAATCTTTATGGAAGCAGACTGCCACATCTTTCTCCCTTGAAGCAGCTAGTGGATTCCAACTGCTGACCTTTAAGTTAGAAGCCGAGTGCTTAACCACTGTGCTACCAGGGCTCGTTTTTATTTATTTTTTTAATGAAGGAGATACAATTTCTCTTGGCAACATTCATATAATTGGATTATGGCTTACTTTGCTTCTGTCATCCTATCACCCTGATAATAGATTTGTAATATGCAGAAAACTCTCAGGTAATCAGAACATAGTCTCCAAGGATTCAGAATATAACTAAGCAGAACTCTCAATTAATGGACTTTTTTCCTTCCACTTTCCTTCCTCAAATAATCTGCAACCCCACTGTATTCCCTGTCTGTTGTTGTTGGGTGCCGTCGATTCCCACTCATAGTGATCCCATGTGACAGAGTAGATCTGCCCCATAGTGTTTCCTAGGCTGGAATCTTTATGGGAGCAGATCACCAGGTGTTTTTTCCATGGAGCCTCTGGGTGGGTTGGAACCACTGACATTTCAGTTAGCTGCTGAACCCCATCTAGTGTTCCACTCCTCATCCAAGCCAGAGCTAGGTTTATCCTGGACTCCTCCCTCTAGTGCATTTCCTCCACAAAATTGTTCATTCAGACCTGTTTATTCTACTGTATTCTCTCAAAAAAAAAAAAAAAAAAAAAAAAAGGATTGAGGAATTTCCAGTTCCAGCTCCACCATGTAAAGAGCTTGGAAGTTATAACTCCTTTTTTTGTCGTTAGTCACCATTGAGTAGATTCCGACTCATGGTGACCCCGTGTGTACAGAACAGAACTACTTCATAGGATTTTCAATGGCTGTGACCTTTTGGAAGCAAATCGCCGGGCCTTACTACCAAGGCACCTCTTGGTGGGTTTGAACTGCCAACCTATTTGTTAGTAATCCGGTATTTAACCGTTTGCACCACCCAGGGACTAACTCCTGTTCTTAGAACAAGAAAAATCTGAACAAACTGGAAATCAACGACTTTTTTTGGACCCAGCAGAGAACTGAGGGCCCAGGGCATAACACCACCCCAAAATCTAGAGAGCCAGGGAAATCCCCAGTCACAGCAGAGATCTTCTTACCTGGAGCAGAAGGTGCTGGAGCCATATACGGGTAGGGACACTTAAGTGGTCATTTACATGAATTGAGGCAGGCTGAGTGTGGACTAGATTGAGACAGAGAAATTCCTGGGGGACCAGCCGTAGGGGGCCCCTACACTCAGGCCCATTTTACCGCCAGGAACCCCACCAGCTTTTCACCATGAAAATCCTTTCCTGGCTCTGGCAGGGCAGAGAATAGTAATCTTTGTGAAGTAACC